TCCCAGGAGGCCGGCAAGGCAAGCTCCCAGTAACTGCTTTTGAGGCCTTTGATCTGGAGGCCCGTACCTGGACCCGGCACCCAAGCCTGCCCAGTCGCCGGGCCTTTGCTGGCTGCGCTATGGCGGAAGGCAGTGTCTTTAGTCTGGGTGGCTTGCAGCAGCCGGGGCCCCACAATTTCTACTCTCGTCCACACTTTGTCAACACTGTGGAGATGTTCGACCTGGAACATGGTGAGCAGCGGCTGGCGTGGCCTGTCCTTCTACTACTGTCTGTGGGATGGAAGGATATAGTGTATGGGGGCTATATCTGATCTCCCCTCTTCTGCAGGGTCCTGGACCAAGCTGCCCCGTAGCCTGCGCATGAGAGATAAGAGGGCTGACTTTGTGGTTGGCTCCCTCGGGGGCCACATTGTGGCTATTGGAGGCCTTGGTGAGTCTCTTTGGAAGCCCCCAATACGAAAAGCATAGTCCCTAGCTTGAGCACCACCTCCTGCCTTTCTCTAGACACTCTAGAGGTCAGGGCTTTGCTAGTTGCCTTGTGTAGGAAGTTGCAGGGTTCAGTGTGCCAGGCTCAGACTCCGGAGTCCCCAGTGTCTGATGGACTAGGAGGAAGGAGCAGACCTGACACCACAAGTAAGCAAACAAGAGGGGGCTTCAAAATGTTCATGGAAAATGGAATTAAAAGCTTATAGAATTTTTCCATGAACCTTTGAAGCACCCTCATAGAAACATTAATGGATGATGAATGACAAACAGAAGCCATGAGAAGCAAGACATTAAGAGCCCATCCTGAGGTGATGCCTGCTGGGACCATCCTCTGGGCTGGGTGAGCAAAATGGACTGGGCACCTTACAACTTGCCATCTCCTTCCTGCAGGAAACCAGCCGTGCCCTCTGGGTTCTGTGGAGGGCTTCAACCTTGCACGGCGGCGTTGGGAAGCACTGCCCACCATGCCCACTGCACGCTGCTCCTGTTCCAGCCTGCAAACAGGGCCCCGGCTATTTGTTATTGGGGGTGTGGCCCAGGGTCCCAGCCAAGCTGTGGAGGCACTGTGCCTGCGTGAGGGAGTATGAAGGCCCTATGGGCCAGGGCAACTCAGTGCCAGAGGCAGATGTCTGTGGCTCCTTTTGCTGTTGAGGAAACTCACTGTGGCTCTGTGGGATGGAGGAGGCACAGGGTGAGTACTCAGGCATTGATTGCCTCAGTGGCTAGGGTTGGGGGTGGGAGGCTATCTCTTTGGTTCAAAACACTTATGCTCACACCCACCTTTGCCTCCATTCATTCACTAATAATGCCTAGCTCCACCCTTGCCCTAGAGCCTGCCAAGCCCTCTATCCTGCTGGCTTCATGTCCCAGAGGGTCAGTGCCTACCTGGAGTTCATCAGGCTCACTTCAATGGCTGTTCCTAAAAAATCCAGCTGCCAGCCTGCCTTGAGGGGCCTTGTAGACCTAGAAGAGTTCAGAGAGGGTGGGGGACACAGAGGGAATGGAAGAAAGGGTACAAGAACTACCAGAGGACCAGATGAATGCTGGCTTTGGGCCCTCTCCACTGCTGGCTGTGTGATCTTAGGCAAGTCATTTCACCTCTCTGTGCCTCAGCATCCTCATCTGTGAATGGGGATCTCTGAAACCTTCCTGCCCTACCTACCTCACAGGGTTGTTGTGAGGACCCAGGCAGTTCAGATGTGGAAGTAAAAGTGCTGCTAAAATCTTGAGTGGCCCCTGTCTCTTCCAGGGATGAGCGTTCAGAGGGAACCTCTTGGATATGCCTTCTGCCATCAAAATGACCTGGTGCTTTAGTACTGTGTAGGTCCCAGCTTCTTCTTTGGTGATATGGAATGATGACCCTTCCCCACTGCCATTGCTATTAGTGGCTACTCACAAGATGGAAGAGCTCAGAAAGAGACAAACGAAAAGACATCTCAAGCCAGCGTCAGGACAATTTCTAGGTCCAGCTAACCTAGTATCTCCCTAAGGTCTCTGCTTGCCTTCAAAGGGAGAGAAGTGGTCCAGTGGGAGCTGTCTCAGAGTTCAGGCCTTTTTGCTAGCTGCTCTGTCCAGGAACAAGCCTGACCCAGTTGTAGGCATCTCTTTGGCAGACTCCTCAAGGTCAGCAGCCTCCTGAAGGAATCTCCAGACCCTAGTGTCTTCTTTTAGTCTTTGCTGTACACCAGCACCAGCCTGAAGCTGCTCTGAGGTCAAGAGACAACTGGATTTACTGCTGTAAATGTACTTGGGGCCCTTGTACCCACCTTCTGTGGCCATAGTCACCTTCCTCCTGGGCCCTCAGGTTCCTCCCTCTTAACCAGTGATAGGACTTCTAAGGCAGCACCCTCCCCTGCCCAGCACACAGGCTCCATCGAAAGTCAGGCACAGGACCTCTCAGACCTCTTGGTTTACAAGCATGGGTAGGTCACTGTATCAGCAGCCATTCTTGTTTAATACTCTGGACCAGTTTAGACACTCAGAGACCCCAGCATGAAGGTAGTGCTGCAGTAGCTTGGGTCTTGGGGGACACAGAAGGTCCGGCAATGAATTGGTTACCGGGGCTTCGGACCCTATTTTGTCACTGCTATAGTGGCGGTCCCAGGATGTTTGGCAGAAGTTCTGCTGGTAGGTGGTACTGGCATGGGCAGGCCGGACCTGCACAAAGTGGACGAGGCGCTGGGGGAGGCCACCAAATCCTGAGCCTGACCGAAAATCAGACTGGTAGGAAGATTCAAGGGGCTGCTGCTGGCGAAACTCCAGCTCACAGGGTGCCCAGCGCAGGAAGGTGTGTCGCTGCCATAAGCGCTCCAGGTCTTTTCGTCTCCCGATGCCCTGCAGCAGGCAGTAGGGCCCCTTCTCAACGGTATGGGCCCTTGGCCCACAATCCTGGTACCAGACACCTCTTTGGGCCCCTCCTGAATCTAAGTTTGCCAAGTGATACACAGCCTGTACCCCAGTCTCCTTGGTTTGCCTCCTCAACCATTTCTTTCATTCTAGGGTGAGGGCCCCAAAAGTCAATGACACAAGGATTTTGAACATTGTCAGGCAAGGTGGCAGGGGAAACCAAAGCAGAGGTGCCTCCATTTGGGGAATGGGCTGTTTCTCAGAGGAGAGAGGTGGTTGGGAAGATGGGAACCCCTATACCTGTATAAGGAACCCCCCCTTTCAACCTGCCTCCTGCTCTGTTCTTCACTTTACCCTAGGCTGGGTGGCCTGCCCGCTCCCTTTCTTCTCTCTAGCACTCACTTTGTCGAAGGATGTACGATTGTCATGCTTGGAGAAGAAGTGTTGCTGCGCTGGTTCCTTGAAAGATAGCGAGAAAGAAGGTGAATGGGAAAAATGATGCTCAGTTGTCCCCCAATATTACTTTGTTGTTGTTGTTAAGTGCCGTTGAGTCGATTCAGACCCATAGTGACCCAGTATAGGGTTTCCAAGGAGCAGCTGGTGAGCTTGAACCATTGACATTGCAGTTCAAACGACTTTGCAGTCTGACGCAAAGTCCACAGCGTCACACCAGAGCCCAGTAATGGAGAGAAGTTGCCAGTTGGCACCATTCTTCAAAAAAAAACTTTTTTTAAATTGTAAAAATTGACAGGTAGTCCCTGATATGTGACATGGTTCCAAAGACTCCTTTGTAAGTTGGTTCTGACAAAAGTCAAATACCTTTTTTTTTTTTTTTTCTAAATTTTCATTATTATTCCATTTTATTGTCAGTATCTTTATAAATTCAATTTTTATCTTTGGGGTCTGGAAACATTACTTCTGTGCATGATAACATCATCAAATTATACATAGCAACATTGTACATAGTACATATTACTAATAGTAAGATGTTAGAAAAACAAAATGTCATAACTTTAATATATTGTAAGTTGGGGACGACCTGAACACAACAAACATTTGCCAGTACAAAACTCCCATATTTATAATTTAATGACATTTATTAACATTTTTCATGTTGTATCACCATTATTACTATCCTTTTCCAAAATATTCCACCACCTTTAACAAAGGAAGGTGAGAGAGAGTCATGTAACTGACTTATTTCACACAACATAATATTTTCAAGGTTCATCCATGTAGTGGCATGGATCAGAACATAATTTCTCTTAAGGGCTGTGTAATACTACATTATGTGCATATACCATGTTTTCTTTATCTGTTTACCTATTGATAGACATTTTGGTGGTTTTAACCTTTTGATTATTGTGAAACTGCTGCAATGAACACGTTTTTGTTTGTGTTCCTCCCTTCACTTTTTTTTTTCCTGCCCTCACTTTCTTTAAAGGTTTTTATTGTGGATAGAGTGAAAGTTTGATGACAGGGCATATCATCAGTTTTACATTCAACAAATCATATACCTTGTTTCATTACACTGATTATAATCTCCTCCATGTACCATCAGTTAATAATATTTCTCTCTATCCACTTTAGCTTTTTAAAAAACAAGCAAAAAACCCACACAGGCATAAATAATAATTTACATCCCTAAAGGGCACATTCTGCAAGTCTGCCTCCTGGCCCTTAGTCCTTCTCTTCTTTGGCCATGAATCTAGAGTCCTCAGCCACTCCCCCTCTCCATGCACCCATCTCTGGCGCTGCTTCTCTGGATAAAGTCCCGCATTCTGCTTGTACGTTCCTCTCTTGATGTTCCTAGGATCCTCTGTTTCTGGACTGTAAGATTAACCACTCCCCTTTTTCTGTTACAAAACTTCTACCTTTACAGTTGATTAGTCATGATAACAGTTATTCACTATTGAATCTTACGAATCTTATCCCCAGCTCTTTTCACCAGACCCATGTAGACAAGATGACAGCTATTCAGTGGGGACTCTTTCTTCCCCCCCCCCCATACTCTTAAAGTCCCTCTTGAAACCTTGTAAGCCAGTCACTTTGTGCCTTTATTGCCCCCTCATTTTAGGTAGCCAATGTCTAAGTTGCCCATCCCTATCTACCCTGTGTACAGAGTGGACAGCATTGAAATTTGATTAGAAGACTTTTTCCCTCTCTGTTGGTATTTAGAGTAACTACCGCTGTGAGTATAGGTCAGGTTCATCATGAAGATGCATCATCTGTCACTGTAGCTGTTCCAGTGTGATTGTCCTTTCTAGTGGGAATGTCTCACCTCATAAGGTTGTGGATGGGACTCAGGATTCCACCGAAGGTCCTATACTCTGCAAAGGCTTTGCATGAGGCCTATGTCACTAGGCAAGTTGTAGAACACCTTTTAGGTATTCCAATCAGTTATAGGCTGAAGGCAGGCTTACAAGTTTTCTCTAATCATGTTTCCCAACATTCCTTTCTATCCCACTCAAGTGTCTATTTT